TGGAGCAGCCGTGCGCTGAAACTCGCGCGGCGGACATGTCAGATAAACAGCATCGTGACTGTTCAATCAAAATGACGACAGGCCGGCCATGTGGAGCATACCAGTGTCAGAACCAGTGGTTGCTTGCCTATTCTTCAACAGATGTTTGTTGAGTCTGATCTGCAGTCGAATGCAGATGCATGCGAGAGATGCTTCACGTGAAGTTTTCTGAGCATTAGGTTTACACAGCCAGGCAGTCGTCATGGCCAAGGAGTTGAGAGGGTGCATGAGAGGCGAACATGTTTGGATCTGTAGCTAGCATGCATGAAGACGCCTGTCCAGGTCTCTGTGGCGAGGGCTAGTCGCTGAGCCACCGTGACCACAGGCAAGCCACAGAGTCGAGACGAGACAGTGAGGGGCTGTCGATTGAAGCCGGTCCATGTATGAGCTTGATCGACGGGCCGCGATTTCGTTTGTGGAGTGGGCAGGCTGACGAATTTTCGGCCGGCGCGTCTTGAAGGTGCCGCTAGCTGCATCGTGACGGCATCGGCACGTAAACTCTGTCGAAACGCAGAAGACGAAGCGCGGAAAGCGCCAAGCTGAGTTGGACTTCCTGGGTTGGATGTTGGAGGTTGAGAGTTGGGGGTCGAGGGAGCCACGAGAGGCGTCTTCGTCTATCTCAGCCTCGGCGTCTGGCATCCCCTGTCAACACCAACCCACCTCTCGCCCTCCTGCACTCATCTCATCGCGACAACACCAACCAAACACTCGACAAGCGCAGGCGACGGCACGACTTGCCGATTGTTCCCGATGACCACCACCTTCGCCCCCTTGACGAGGTTGCCATGGCGATTCTCCGTCTTCGCATCAACTGTCGTCCAGCATCACATAGGCGTCAAACTTGAGTGCGCAGTCAGCATGCTAAGCTATAAGGTTCCCGCCTGCAGCCGTCCGACAGGGCCACCAAGAACCAGGACGGCGCTCTCGACGGAAGACTTGCCGAGCCAATGGTGCCAGCTCGAGGCGGTACAGCCCAAGAGATGGGCCAGAGCCAAGTCAGATCCCGTCCGCTACGCCGTTGGTCTTGAAAAACTACTGCAAGCCATTCCGGAAGGCTGCCTCGTGTGACGTTTTGGGACATGTGCTAGGACAACAATCCAGCCGTTATGAGACGTCTCTGTCAAGCTGCCCAGATTGCAATTCCTTTTTTACTCCCTGGCTGCAAGACCCACTCCCCTGCATTGATTGATTCGTCCTCCCAATGCCGTAGCTGGCGGTTTACTTGCAAAGAGGTTATATCTATGGCTCGGTCAGTTCCCTCCTTCTAATCCCTCAGCAGCCGTCCTTCTGCCCCTCCAGTCACTCTTCTCTCTTCACCTCACAATGGACTCCCGTCCGCAGGCAGACATCACTCCTTGTGATCCAAAGACATCCTGCACTGAAATGTCCCAGCTCGGGTCGGGGCGCAACAGTTTCAGCGATGCTGCCCTAAACCGCAACGACTCACAAAAATCTTCTGGGCTATCTGATCTGACAACTTTGAAAAGTGCCAGTCCAACGCCGCCAGAGGAATTCAAACCTGGCTGGCGATTCCTTGCTGCATTTATTTGTCTCTGCATTGTAAATCTTGTTTGCGCTCTCGATGCCACTTCGATTTCGGTGGCACTTCCTGTGAGTTTCCATTCTCTCTTCCGGATGTAGCTAATTTTTCAGGTCATATCCGATGCCCTCCATGGAACTGGAATTGAAGCCTTTTGGACGGGCACGTCCTTTCTCCTCACCGCAACAGTCTTTCAGCCGAGCTTTGCATCTCTTTCCCATGTCTTTGGGCGAAAACCACTCCTCCTCATTGCCCTCACATTCTTCACCGTCGGCGCGATAGCGGGTGCCGTCTCCAATGACTTTACGGCTCTCTTGACGAGCAGGGTGATACAGGGTATCGGAGGAGGTGGAATTGCCGCCTTGACAGGCGTCATCATCACTGACATGGTTCCACTGAAGGAAAGAGGCAAATGGCTTGGACTGGTAACCATGATGTGGGCAATTGGAAGTGTGATTGGTCCCGTCATCGGAGGTGTGTTGGCAGAGAAGGTCTCATGGGTGAGTGGCGACCGACTCCCTGTTTCTTTCTTGTTCGTTCGAGCTAACGGTCGACAGCGGTGGATCTTCTGGATCAATGTTCCATTCTGCGCCATTGGATACGTCATGATTCCGCTCTTTTTGAAGCTGCAGTACAAGCCGGGCAATTTTGCTCAAAAACTCAAGCAGATTGACTGGATTGGGTCGTTTTTGTTTGTGGCTTCGACGACGTCGACTCTGATTCCCATCACATGGGTAAGTTTGAAAGCCTCGCTTCTGATATGTCAACTGACCAATCTAGGGCGGTGTCATGTACCCGTGGGACCACTGGCGCACCCTTGTTCCCCTCGTCGTCGGCGTTTGCGGTCTGCTCGTTTTCATCGTTTACTCCAAATTCATCCCCAAGGAGCCCATCCTGAGGGGCACTCTCTTCAAAAATGTCACGGCACTCGTCTGCTACGTCAGCATCGTCATCCACGGCATGATGCTGTGGTCTGCTCTCTACTACATGCCGCTCTACTTCCAAGCCGCCAAGTCCATGTCGCCAACGACTTCGGGTATTGCCCTCTTCCCGTGGACCTTTACCACCGCACCCGCCGCCGTCATTGCCGGAATCCTCATTGCAAAGACGGGTCGCTACCGTTGGGCCATGTACTTTGGCTGGTTCACGACTACTGTCGGCAGCGGACTCCTCATCCTCTACAAGGAACACACGCCTGCGCGGGAATGGATCCCGCTGGCACTCATCTCGGGCATGGGACTTGGTTTCCTGTACCCAGCCATGAGTCTCTGCAACCAAGCGGCCGCAGTCAAGGGAGACGTTGCCGCAGCAGCAGCCCTGAACCCTTTCTTCCGCAACTTTGGGCAGACGCTGGGCGTCGCGGTGGGCGGAACGGTGGTGCAAAACCAAGTCAAGAAGAAGCTGCTCGCATCCGCCATCCCCGCCGTGGCGGCCAAGGCGGCCGAATACAGCAAGGACGCGACGACACTGGTCAGCGTGGTCAAGGCCATGCGCGGCGACCCCAGCATGGCCGCCGTGCGTCACGACCTCATCGACGCTTACATTACCGCGCTTCACGTCCTCTGGATCGTCATGTGCAGTCTGGGTGCCCTCGCCGGCGTCCTCACCATCCTGTTCGTCAAGGCATACTCGATGGACCGCGAGCTGGAGACGGACCAAGGCTTCGTCGACAGCAGGCGCGACGAGATGCGCGAGGTGGATGAGACGAGTGCATAGACGTGTCATGGCTGCTGGTCATCCATCTCTCACACCTCAATTGCGAGATTGCCGCGGCTTCTGCCTGGACAGACGCTCCCTCTCGACCCAACATTTCTCTCCTCCAACCTTTTCCTTGTCGCCCTTCAAATTCCGTTTCCTTAGGAGCATTCAAGTATATCCCATCAACCTCAGATTGCGATTGTCGGGAGGATATATTCTCATCTTTCCCGAAAGGGCCTTAGTAGCAGTGGTTTTGTGCGTTCGCTTTGGGTTGGGATGCGTGCTAGATAGTATCCCTCCCTCATAGCTATATATACCGTCTTGATGTGGTACGCGAAAAGCTTAATACAGTATTGATATCCACAACAGTGCAGTGTTGCTCAAAGATACGTGACTGTACTCGAACGCTCCCGTCCTGAGTGCTTTCGTGTTGAAGGGTTGCTGAGATACTCCCACCTGTCAGTCTTCGGTGTTTCCCTTTTTCCTCATACGTCCCATCTACCGCTTTCAACTCATAGTGTGCACGACGCCACGACTTCTTCCACTAAGCGTCAGTCCGTCGCCGGCGTCTTGTGCGGTCAGCGTGAAGCCAGCTTCTCTCAAAAGACCACCAAAACCTTTAGAATACATTCTTCGAATTTCGACCTTCTTCCTAGAGAATTGGGGCAAACGATGGTCAGGCCTTCAGTGTGTCGAGTGGAAATTGTAGCTTAAATGTCATCGAATATTTCTGCAGCATTCTGGTCGCCGATGTAACAGCCTGAAGTTACGAGTGCTAAAATGCAAAATTTAAAACTGGGACCAGTCTCCAATGCCGTACATAGTCGCGGACCTACTCGCAAAATCGCGGCAAGCCAACTTCACGGCCTCATGGTCCGGGCTTTTGACAAAGGTCCACTGCGAAATCGTCTAAAAGACTGAAAAAGATGCTTCCGCGCATACATGGTTAAATCTTTACTTCCTCAGGAGAGCCCGTCTTGGAAGTCTCCTTGACTGCGGAACTTAGTATCTGAATAGTCCAAACGTCAGTCGACCCTACAGATATATGATAAATAATGCGGAAATCCCATCTGGTCAAAAATCTTCACTTGACCCCTCCATACGCGCATGTTGTCAAAATTCCGATTGAGTGTTTCGTCTGCATCCACGTTTTAATGGCTCTCAGCTAGTAGTAAGTACATTGCCAGCTCAAATCGCGTTTTGCTCATACAGACTACCGACCACAAACCCCCGCCAAAATTCTTACCTTTCCGGCTGATCTGACGCGTCTGTCTGCCTTCGGTCTCCACGTCTAGATATTCCGCAACAACACGCTGCTCGTAAATAGTGCTGCTTGCTCAGTCGTGTAGTAAGAAGGTCGACGTTGGTCCTCATCTAGAATGAAAGCTTGCGGTCGGGCAGCTCCGTGCTTGTAAACTGTAAAGTAGTCGGTTGCAAGCGACTACTAGTGTCTATCTCGATGTTTAGGGTTCAAATAACACTGCATCATCCATCCATCGACTTCCTGCACCTACCCGTTCCCCCTTTTCTTCCTCCCCTCCTCCCCAGAGCATCACACACGATCACACCTGTCTCCTCTCTTCTCTCTTGCGTCTTTCCCCCCTCCTCCTCCTCCCATCTAAACATCCCCTCATTCCACCTCCCACAACCCCTTCTCTTCACACGTTCACACAGCAAAACAGAACGCAAACCTGTCTCTTCACCCCGGCAAAACAACAAGGGATGCCCACTCTCGGAATCGAACCGAGGATCTTCTCATGACGCTTTTCTACGAGTGAGACGCTGTACCACTAAGCCAAGCGGGCAAATTATCAATTTGATACATTGATTTTAGAGCTCTTATTTATAGCTATTCCACGTTGCGGCTTCCGTGTTTGGATTGATTGATTGATTAATTGATTAATTGATTGTTTTACGTCTTACTAGAGCTATAGGCTATCTAAGACGGAGCTATCTATAGGGGATACCATATATATTTATAAGGTAAGTAGGGATACCCGTCTAAAGAGTCTTATATAATAAAGTATAATTCTTAGTATAGTATTAGTATAGGGTTATTATAGATAGATAGTTTATCTAGGCTCTTTTTAGGTAAGGGGGGGCTAAGAACTAGCCTTCCTACTATTATCTAAGTAGATAGGTAGTATGAAGTAAGAGTAATAAAAGGAAGAGGGGTAGGAAGAAGGCATATATAGAAAAGTAAATATAGTATAGGGTAGTAGGTAAGGTAGATTATATATATACTCTACTATAGCGTTCTAGTACTATCCCTAATAGTATAACTTTAAGGTTACCTAATATTTATACTAGGGGGATAGCTTTATTAGATAATAGGGATAGTTTAGGTCCTAGGAGTAATAAGTACCGTTATAGTTACTATACTTTAACGCTATATAGGTATATATTATGCCTCTCTTTATATAGTATTTATAGTCATGCTTCTCTATAGTATAGGGGCTAGTATATAGTAAGCATTTAGTCCTATTATAACACCTAGAGGAGCTATAGCTAAATGCTTAACACTTTATATACTATATATCTAGAGTGATCTTAAGGAGCTTTATAACCCTAATACTTACTCCTATAAGATAGAGTAGCTTTAAGATAGCTATCTCTACCTCTTTTACTATATAGAAGGCTATAATAACTAACCCTACTTTTTAGGTAGCCCTCCTTTCGGCCGAAGTAAGCTAGTATAGAGTTCTAATAATAGAAAGGCTAGGATTAAAGGTATAGACCTCTTCTATAATGAATTATCCGATATTAAGTAAGTATAGGTCTTCTATAGGGATGCTATAGGTAATAACCTTATGCTAGGTTTAGTTCTCCTAGACTATAGCATCTAGGAATAGGTAAGTAAAGAGGTCCTTATAGGAGGTAAGGAATTTAGAGTTATACTAGGGTAAGCCGGTAAGTAGGATGTTACCTTTCTCCGTATATATTACTATTAACATAACTAGGCTAGATATACCTATATTCTTAAAGGCGTTATTAATATTATTTTATATAGAGAGAGGGTTAAAGTCTAGGAAGGGACTTTACTACTAGATAATGACCTACATGTCCCGTAGGGCCTTTAGGGGAGTAGTAGCTAGCTTTATAGTTATCTTTAGGTAAGGAGTTATGTATAGTTTTCTAGTAGTAGTTACTTTCTAGGCTTAGGTTATATATAATAGGTTAGCTAGGGTTATAGGAAGGATAACTAGCTTTTATAGCTAGTAGACCTTTACTCCTAGCATATAAGTAGTATTTTTAAGGGAGTAAACTTAAGTAGTAAGAACTAATAACGTATTACCTACGCGACCTATCTTAGTATAATCCTATAGGATGTTACTAAGGTTATAGAGTCTTTACTTCTTACTTATATTATATATAAGGTTTATTACGTATAGGATGTAAGAGAGTGCTATATTAATTACCTCCTAGGTAGTATTAAAGTTTAGATGAAATCCGAACCTAGTCCTTTTTCCTTAGTAGGTAGGGTTAGGTTTAGAGGCATCTACTAGGATAGTTCTCTTTAGTATAGTATACTATTTCTTAGTTAGGCCTAGTACGATAATTAGTAGGGATGATAGGGGGATAGGGTATATAGGGAAGTCCTAGTCTATTTCCTTAGGTTTATTAGCTAGTTAAGTAGGTAGTAGGCTAGGCGGTATAGGGGTATCTTAGTCTATTTTCTTAGGTTTATAGTTATAGCTATCCGGTAGAACTAGGTTAGGTAGGGCCTCCCCCTAGGGGGTAGGTACGGGTATACTCATAGTATAATACTTTAGAGGGTAGGTTTTTACTTTCTAACTTTAGTTATATACGTATAAGCCCGCGCTATAGAGTTATAGCGGGTATAGTGATTTTTAATTTTTTAAAAATTTTATGTATAGTAATAACTTATTAACGCATAGGCTTTTTTTAAGAAGTAGTAGCTAAACTAAAGAAGAGTGTTTTTATTTAGATTAATTAATTAATTAATTAATTAATTATTTTACGTCTTACTAGAGCTATAGGCTATCTAAGACGGAGCTATCTATAGGGGATACCGCGTACGTTTATAAGGTAAGTAGGGATGCCTAGCTAAAGAATCTTATATAATAAAGTATAATTCTTAGTATAATGTTAGTATAGGGTTATTATAGATAGATAGTTTATCTAGGCTCTTTTTAGGTAAGAGGGGGCTAAGAACTAGCCTTCCTACTATCATCTAAGTAGATAGGTAGTATAAAGTAAGAGTAAGGAAAGAAAGGGGGACGGGAAGAAGGCGTACATAGAAAAGTAAATATAGTATAGGGTAGTAGGTAAGGCAGATTATATATACGCTCTACTATAGCGTTCTAGTACTATCTATCTTCTAGCTAACTAGTATAGTTAGCTAACACTTATTATAGAAAATAAATAACGCTAAAGAACCTAGGTTTAATCTATATTAATGTTACTTATAATTTAATCTAGCCCTATTACCGCTATTAGATAACCGCACGTTAATATTATTACTAATAATAGAGCTCTACATGCCGCCCTAGCCTAGATATACTATATAGATGAATAGCATTAAGCCCTTACCTTACCGCTAAATAGTTATCTAATTATTATTAGGAGTAGGAGGATTTAGCTAGAGTAGTTACGGAGTAGTTATCTAAGCTATGTTAATGCCTTTCTAATCTAGAGGGCTAGGGTCTTAGTAGAGGCTCTATATAAGGTAGATAAGGGGTATAAGCCTAGAGGGTATTAGGTAGATTATAGATAAAGGGGTCCTTTCCTTAATTATCTTCGGTTAGAGGGGTTCTAGGGTAGTACCTATAGGAACTATAAGTAGAGGGATTATAGAGCTTATTATTCGCTCTACTAGTAGAGATTAGAATAGATTCTCTCCTCTTCTTTTTACTCTTCTTTTTTCCCTTAGTCTACTATTTACATGTGCTATACCCTAGTAGAAACCTTCATCTAACATATGAATTTAAGTATAAATTATTAACCGACATCTCCTTAGAATAGCTCTCTATAGGGTATAGAGGCTATTTTCCTACTATTATTATTATACGCCTTACATACTACCTATATAGCTTCTCTCCTAGTAGAGCTATAGAGTAGGTAGTTACTAATAAGGTGTTATAGTATTTATTAGGTGGTATTATTATAGCTATAATTATCCTAGTCTATCTTACTAAACTATACTAGGTAGGCTCTAAAGTAGCCGTAGTTTAGTTTTAATTAGAAGTAGGCTAATGCTTCTAGTTATCTATACTTAGGGAGTTAGATAGACGTCCTTAGTATAGGTAGGAAGTTACGTATATATAACCCCTAGGATAGTATTATCTATGCTTCCTAGTATTATATAGTATATATTATCTATTCTACTATAGTTCTTTATTATACGTGCATCCTAAGGAGGGTAGTACTTAAGTAGTTATTCTCTAGGGTTAGCCTAGTAGCCTCCTTTATAAGGGCGTCTACTTATAGGTTTCCTCTAATCCCTATATAGCCTAGGGCCTATAAGAAGGTAAGACTACCTTATCTAGCTATAATTAAGTAGCCTACATCTATAGCTTAAAGTTATAGACCTTAACCTAGTAGGTTAGATAGGGTTTAGAGGCGGTATAGTATAGCTTAGTTATCTATATATACTATAATCTATCACCCTAGCTATTTCTAGGTAGCTAGCTCTATAGCCCTTATAAGTACCTCTAGTTCTCCATTATATATAAGCTAGTATAGTCTAGTATTTACTCTATATCTTACTACTACTCTTATACTATCTTATTAGGTGTCGTACGCTATAATCTCTATACCTACTCTATTTCCTTTTAGGATAGATAAAGCGTTAGAATATAGGATGACTACTTAAGTTATATATCCTATATATCTAATGTATACTTAGGCTTCTTATTCCTTTTAGAGGTAGCTAATCTTAACTTTATACAGCGTAGTCTTTTTCTATAGGGGAAAGGAACCATGCTTAATCGGGCTTTTAGTACCTATTACTAGGTCTAAAATTATGTTCTAGACATGTTTAAGTTATATCTAGCATCCTAGTATACTCTCTAGTTTAAACTTATTAATAATTATGCGTACTAGGTATTAGTAACTAAGTTTAAAGAGTCTTATAGCGTACGCTTAAAGTAATATATTCCTCCTAAGGTAGGGGGGGAGAAGGCCTACTTTAATTTCTATAGGAATAATTAGGGAGGTATAAAAGGCTCCTAGGATTTAGTATAGTCTACTATTTTAAAGTATTCATCTAAGTATCTTAGATCTACTAACTTACTAGAAAACTAGGGACCTATAATCTACTATACTTTATATATATATAAGGTATAGCTATTAGACGGTAGTAGGGGATAGTCTATATTATATATTAGCTAGCTATATAAGTTATCTAAGTAATTACTTTACTTAGGTATTTTAAATTATTATATACTACCGGAATAATAGGTATATATTAAACTATATCCTAAGCTATTAGACGAGTTACTTTAGCTTTACTATATAATCTCCTAGGAGTATAATTATGGCTACCTTAGCCTTATCTAAGCTTATAAAATAGATAAGGTCTATTTTATCTTTATTAAAGTTAACGGCATACTAGGTTCTAAGTAAGAAGAGCTAGGTTACTTCCCACTAGAGGATCTATACGTTTTTCTTCTAACTCATTAAGGAGATTATAATTAAAACATTATTAATGTATAAGAGGAATCTTACTAAGTAAGGGGAAGAGAGCTTTTATATATAGATAAGAAATAGGATTAGGGAGACTAGGCTTCCTTAGGGAATTCCTAAAACTATTAGATAAAGGTCTTCTTATTAGCTATTAAAG